AAATGTCATTCTATTTCGTTTCCAAATATAATCTCTGGGAAGAGAAGTTCCCCCCCCCCACTTCCTTATTTTCAATCTCGGAAGTTAATGGATGAATTTATATTCCTTTCTCCCTCTTGGGCCCCTCAATTAAGACCCGTAGTTACGAGAGACCGCTCAGTGGAAAGGAATAGATACAGATTGGAAGGGACTGGTAGGTCATCTAGTCCAACCCACCCCCCCAAAAAGCAGGAGACCCTACACCATTTCTGACAAATGGCAGCCCAATCTATTCTTGAAAGTCTTCAGGGATGAGTCCGTGGGATGAATAGAGTCTGAAAGGAGAGCGGGGAGTTGCCCCGATGACAGCTGCTGTCCCCTTACTGGGGCCCCCATTCCTTTTGCTCTCTCCAAAGACACCCCCACCCCCCGTGAAGCTGTTTTGGGGGGTTCCCATTAATGGCTTTTGCTCATGCCGATCATCAAGAGGCCGTTTTCCGTGTGTCGTGGGAGCCGTAAAAACGGCATGGGTTTTGCACAGAACTCCCCTCCCGACTACAGCAGGGCTCGCTCCCTCCCTTAACCGTCGGGGTGTCCGGAGAAGGGGCTAGCAATGAAACCCCCTCCCTTGCATCCGTACAAGCAGTCCGTGACTTACGACCACCATTGAAGCCCAAATTTCAGTTGCTAAGCGAGACCTTTGCACCGTGAAGCAGTGTGTAAGTCTTGAGTGCTACGGCTACTCCTTGGCGAGACCCACTTAAAAATCTTTTCCAGCAGTTCTGAAAATGCTGCCAGCGGTGGGTCAGAACACTTCTCCTTGCTTGGAGCATGGCGGAGGAGAACTTCAATCTTGAACACACCCTTAGTCACTGTCCGAAGGGCCTTGGTGGATGTAAAGGGTGCACCTTGCCCGCTTTTAGGACCTCAGATCCGGTGAGATCTGAGACTGTGTTAAGTGGCTCATCAAGCTATCCTCAAGATGAATCAAATATTCATCAATATTTGATGAATATGGGCTCCTACAAAGATAAGGGGAGGAGCGGGTGTCAAACTATTTCCCAAAGCATTAAAAGGAAGAAAACAAAGGTTGGAAACCAACCAGGAAGAGAAGCAATCTAGAACTCAGGAGGAATTTCCTAACGGGGAGAGCAATGAATCAATGGAATAGTTTTTGCCTTCTGTTCTTGCAGGGGGTTGGACTAGAAGACCTTCAAGGCCCCTTCCCGCTGTTGCCATTTTGTATTCTAAGTCCCTGAGACCTACAGGTAGTCTTCAAATTTACAACAGTTCATTTCGTGACCGTTCAAAGTTACAGCGGCCACTGGAAAAAAAGTGAAGTACCATCGTTTTGCATTATTCTGCAAAACACCAAGCCAACTTGGCATTTCACAGAGATTCACAGCTCCCCAGGAACATTTCTCCAGCTGTGCAACAGATCTCCAAATTGCAACTGAGCCTGTAAGCCATTGTTTGATCAACAAAGGAGCACCCTAACTAGGGGTGGGCTTCTGGGGACTCATAAGGGCTCGGGAGATCCCCTAGCTAAGAAGAGCCCTCAATCCCTTCAGAAAGGCAAGCAACAAGGGAAAGCTCTTAATAGGCTTAATTGAACTTCTGGGCATTCAGCCAAGAGCATTTTACACCTGGTGAAAGTGTGGCAAACTAGATAAACGATCCACTCAGTGCTTGCAAGGGAGAGCTATTGGGAAGATCAGATAACGTAGCCACTAGCCCCGTAACTCGCCAGAAACTCCACTAAGACGCCCAAGATCCCTCCTCTCACAGTCACTGCCCTTATTTCACCCGGTCTTTTATTTAAGCATTCAATTAAATTCACGAAATAATAAACAAGTTTTAGGTATATATCTTTTTTTTAGGTAATTGGGGCAAAGAAGTGACGTGGAGTTGGCCACACCCACCCAGCCAGTCACTAGGGCAGAGAAAAATCGCTAAAAAAAATTTGAAGCCCACACGTCGTCCGAACGCATTTAGCCGTACAGCCTTTCTCCCTTGTCACACAGTTTGCCTGCATGGGCTTCCTAAACCCAATTCGGCTTCCCTCCCTTGCTACCCAGGCACAATTGCAGGGCGCTGGCGATCTATTACGAACCCCCAGGCCTCCTTTCTCCAGAGGGAACGGTTGGCAATTTATCTGCCGGTGTCAAGAGAACAGGTGGCAGCCGGGCACTCGCGGCCTTCAGTCCGCTTATCCCATGATAAATGGGCTGTTTACTGGGGCTTGTTCTTGGGAGCTGCGCAGACCAGCTCTGAACTATAATAACAAACCTCACTGCAACCTTCAGCTGGAAAGCAAAGGCGCGGGGCGTGATAAATGGCTTTTCTGTGGGAACAATGGGGTGGAATTGAAAATCTCCTGCTGGACGGCCTGGTTGCCCCCCACCCCCCCACCCCCAGATACCCCATTCCCTGGAATTATCTTCGGCAACAATTTGAACCAGGCCATCTATGATGGGTTGAGCTGGAAAAACAAAAACCAAGAAACCAGGCAATCATAAAATTGAGGACACAGCATTTCTCGCTGTGATCATCTCGCCAGCCAACCGATATGAATTATGGGGCCTTTTTTTTCCTTCCTTCCTTCCTTCCTTCCTTCCTTCCTTCCTTCCTTCCTTCCTTCCTTCCTTCCTTCCTTCCTTCCTTCCTTCCTTCCTTCGTTCCAACAATAGGAGAATGCAGGTGAGGATAGATTTAGGAGGCAGCCAGGAGCTGAGTTTTAAATCCCCTTTAAGGGTTCTCTTTGAAGAATTTCTGGATCTTCTTAGAGAACCATCACACTACGATGCTTTCGAAGAAAGGAGATGGGGCCAAAGGACAGAGATTAATGGAGGGGCTTGGGGAGGGGCTAAACCAGGGTCTCCAACCTTGGCAACTTTAAAGCTTGTGGACTTCACCTCCCAGAATTCCCCAGCCAGCCATGCTGGGGTCCACGTTTTGTAAGAAGACCCAGAAATTCTTCAAATAGGATGGTTCCCACACTTTAAGGTAGGGGAATCGTGAAGGGAGTCCAGGGTTTAAATTCTATTAAGGGCCTACAGCGACCCTTCATGCTGTTTGGCGGGTCTTCAGGAAGGTGGGTGGGAAATAAAATGGTGTCTGGAACACAATGGCTCAGTGGTTAAAGACACTGAGTTTGTCTGCTGGAAAGTCGACAGATGGGTTTGAAACCCGAGTGCCACCCAATGGAGTGAGCTCCCGTTCTTGGTGTAGCTTCTGCCCACCTAGCGGTTCAAAAGGATGCAAATGCGATTAGATAAATAGGTATCACTTGGGTGGGAAAGTAACTGCGCTCCGTGCACCTTGGCACACAGCCATGCTGGCCACATGTGCACAGAAGTTGAAGGAATTCGTAACTTTTAATAGGAATAACCTAACGTTTGATGTAAAACCTGCCTAGGCTCAAAGATCCTAACCCCATCAGTGTTTGTAGAGGCAAAAGACCTCTTTAAAAATCATTCCAGGAGAGGCATACTTAATCCTTCAGAAAGGAACAGCTGAAACTCTTATTATCTTCTCCAAATATGTCTTCCACGGTTGATGATTCATTGAAAAGCAGGGAGATCTGTGCCTTGTATCTCACATTACAATCCAAAGGTAAGTCAGATCAAACAGCTTGGCGGATTCCCATAGGTGCCTGACAGAAACCATGGCGGTATCAAAATAGCATCACGCGAATCACAACACCATCAGGGCAAATTGCAGCTGACACACATTACATGGTTTGCTCCCCCTTGTCTCAACTCGTCCCCAGACACCCACAAGGACTCTATTCGCACCTAAAACAGGAACCTCTTGATTTCGGAGCTGTGGTCTGGAATCCTGCTCTTCCTTTTGAGTTTCCTGGATTATTTTAATGAGGTTGCTGTTTGCTGCTGAATGTTACTCTCTGAAGGGATAAGTTTGATTCCTGGCACTGAAGAAAAAGAAGAAAGCTTTGGCCCTCTGGACCTCTTAATTTCATTCAGTGATTTCATATGATTTATCTCTGACGGTATGGGCTAAGCATACTGTCAACTCATAAAATAATTATCTGGTCTTTTTAGAGTTGCCATCAGAAAGGGAGTGGGGGGGGGGGGGGTAAAGGGGTTTGAAAGAGCAGTGCAGCAGCTTGGAAATTGAAAATGCATTCCATAAATGTTTTCAAAGATAGTAACTAGGCGACTGAAGTTTCTGCTGTGCAAATATCTAACTGGAGAGCATGATTGATGACTCTGGGCTATGGAGGTGTCCCATTGGAGAATATGAATTACGAGACACCCAGGGGGTGCGGGAATACCAGGGTCAAAGGTGACAATGAATTATGTGTCTCAGAGCCAGCTACACCCAGGCAGTGCTGGACATGTTAACTCCCAAGAAATCCTTTTGAAGTTTTGGAAGTTTGGCTCAAGACTCCTTATTTAATTGGGGTAACTGATGGAATCCTGATACGTACGTTTTGACCAAGAAGGCATTCCTGTAATTTTCAAGGTCCCAATTTAATAGTAGAGATTCACAAAGGTCTATCACCTGTTAAGGTAAGCCATAACAATAGTGTTTATTGATTGCTTTTGTCCCCAAAGTGCTTTTGTTTCAAGAGGCAACTGAATTTTCTGGTTTTTCTTTGAAGACATTTTGCTTCTCATCCAAGAAGCTCCTCCGTCTTCAAAAAAACCCAGAAAGTCCAGTTGTCTCTTGAAAAAGAACCTTTGGGACAACCGATGACTTGGATGACTGGGAATCTCCACGGGCATTGGTTATTTTTTATTTAGCAGGAGGCATCAACCCAGCTGCAATAGCTCAGAGTGATGCGTAAACCAAAACATGATGGCTTGTTTTACAAACTATGGGCCATATCAATCCCATAATACAAGTTTGCAGTCTGTTTCACTTTAAACCATGCAACCAGCCATCACATTGTCTTCATCTTATCCTTCATGGGTATGGAAGTCTTATTTGTGTCTCGATGTCTGGTGACCGCACCAAACAAAGCTAATTTTCTACCTGTTCTCTTTATTTCGTAGCTGGAGGCAGAACTTCAGATGCTGAAGGGTCAAATGTCCGCCGTAGAGCCCAGCAACTTCCTCGCCAAAGAAGAGCTGGATACACTGAGGTGAATGTCCTGCCTTCTATTCATAGTGATAGAGCTGAGGAGAAGGGATGGAGTTAAATCTCTTCCAACTCCATAACTGCTCCTAGAAGAACTTCCGTCCCAACCTGGGGATCAGTATAACATCACTATATCAGATACTGATGATGATTACAGTAATGATGATAACCAACTTTCAGGGCTTCGTAACTTTCCTCACTGCTGTGGTGTTAATAGACAAAACCACATCTTGAAGAACATCAGTTATGTGTTGTGAACATCTAGACAAATGCCACTGTCAGCTTTGGAAGCCATACTGAGACCAGGTGCTCCCACACTGCAACATTTTGAGCCTGGAAAAATGGGAGGGGGGAATTTCTTAGAGTGTATGTAGTTAGCCATAACAACATTCTTTTTCTAAGTCAAGGTCATGTTATTTCTGCACCTGAGTGAGAGGAAGTCTCAAGTCGGGACGGATGGTGATTGGGGCATGTGATATGATGGTGGGTGCAGTGGGGTGGATTTGTAGTTTTTACTTATTGCAAGGAAGCCCGGAACTTTCAGATTCAGGATTCCCCAGTTGCGCTAGTTTACTATCCAAATAAAAACTGAACTTTTGAGAAGATGCCTTTCCTGGAGTTATTGGTTGGAGTGGAGGTTTTTTGGAATGCTGACAGCCAAGGATCCCACCCTGGATAACGCCCCCATCCCAAATTAGCAAGGATCCCAGATCAAAGCCATGATTAATTACTTTGGAAGCGTGCGAGAGAGAGAGAGAGAGAGAGAGAGAAAGAGAGGAGGGGGGGAGAGAGAGAGAGAGAGGAGGTCTTACCGAATCCTTGAGCATTTGTCTTTTCAAGTTCTGCCATCCACTAATTAGATGAACTCAGATGCCACTTATAGATGATGGATTACTTTTCCAATTTATAGTGTGCCAAGCTGACAGGTAGATTACCTCTTGAAATAAAATTATCTCGCTTTCATTTTTGAGAGATAGTAGCAGGGCGGAGACCTGAAGCAGCAGGAGTTTGGTGGGAAGGTATACAATTGGCACTGCTGACATTTTAAACTTGGCAATAGTGGCAGATGTCTATAGCTCAGGGGTAGGATGAGGACGAAGGTTCATTCTCCGAGCTTGTGGGTTGTTTTCCTCCCCTGTTGTAACCTCCCCATCACAAGACCATCACCGATGACTCACACCTGACCCCTCACACGACCACTGACCACATGAAGCCCATGTAAGCCTAAGAGCACAGACACCGACATCCCCTAAACTTCGTTGAAGATGTTACTCAACCTGGTAACGGAACATTTGGAAACCAGCCCATAAGCTTGGGGAACGAACCTTCACCCTTATGTTAAACTTTCACAGCAGGTTTGTCTTGTTGCATTTTGCTCAGGATGTAGGATTTCTCTTTCCTTCTGACCCACCACAACAGCAGCGGCTACATCTATGTTTGGGTCAGGAGAGACCTGGTTGTTCAGAGTCATTTGGTGAGGTCTCTGGTCATCAAGAAGCTTGAACCTGGTATCAGAAGCAAAAGAGTGGGACTGTACATTAAGTTGCAATTTAGAAGGATCTATTGCTCATCCAATACTCAGGAATCTAGTAAACTAAAGTTCAAATTTGAATCCACGCCAGATAAGGGTGAACAGAATTCAAAGGGTGTTGGACGTGGGTTGCTTTTGGCAACGCAAGGACTCCAAGCTTCTGACGTGTTTAACTCCATCCTCCAGCTTTGCCTGCCCTTCTACACTTGGGTTTCCACAGTGGAAATCCAACAGCTCCTACACTTTACTAGCAGATGTTCTCCAAGCTACTTCATATTCCTAAAGAGGAAAGTAGCCTTCTCTCCCAATATTAAAGGAAAGATTTTTTTGTAAATTCACCTGTTTGGTACTCAAATAGCTATCTCCACTGATGTTTCTCACAGTTTACATTCAGGGCAAGCGAGTTGATTGATGATTTAAAGGCCAAACAATTCATCGCTCATCAACTCTCGGACATGCTTTGTGCCTTCGTGCTGTAAGACCTGAAGAGGAATTAAAATGCGAGCCAACCAGCTCCTATACGTTACCATTTGTGGTTTTGGCACCACATGTGACATCTCAATGTGCAGCCACTGGGGGACATGACCCACCTGGTGTCTTCACCACCCACACTTTTCTTTCTGGTTCAAAAGCTAGAAGTTTTCCATTCTCTGCTGGTTGGCATTGGTGAACTTCTTCAGGTCTTCTTATCTATCTCCAAAGCTGAATAACATACATATAAGTACCCGCGAAAACTTAAGAAAACAAATATATATATATATGTATATATTTTTCTTTTAAAGAGAAAGATATACCTTTTGTCTTCTCTTCCTTTTTATATGGAAAGTAAACTACCTCCAGGAAGCTTAAAAGAGAGTTATCTATATCTCTGCCCCCTCCAACCCCCCCCCCCAACTCCTCCTCCCAATCCGGCTTCGGAGAACAAAGCACTTTTTTAATCAGACTTTCTTCTTTATAGCGTTCATATGTGAAAATTCTCTTTCCCGACATTATTACTTCTGAGGAAACAACGCAAAGTAATATTAACGCTGCCAGTCCTTCACCTAAGCCTGGCCTCCCATAAATCACGTTAGCCCCATTTGATGATCCTTCCTAGCCAGGGGCCGCTTCGGCCTTTGATAGCGTAACAGGTTGTTTCGCCCAGGAGGATGAAAAACCGTTAGGTTGGGGTTTTTTTAAAAAAAAAAATTTGCTGGGAGTTAAAGGAACATTTTGAACTGGAATAAATAAAAAGCACGTTTTCCGTCCCCACGCCAGCGACTTCAGTAAATCCTCCATGTCAGCTATGGATTTGGGAAATGGATGGTTTTGACTAAGAATACAGTAGAGTTGGAAGAGCCCTAGTCCAGCCCCCCACCCAAGCAGGAGACCCTCTACTGTTTCAGATAAGTGACTGTCCAGGGTCTTCTTAAAAGCCTCCAGTGATGTAGCACCCACAACCTCTGAAGGCAACTTCTGTTCCACTGGTTAATTGTCCTCACTGTTAAGTTTCTCCTTAATTCCAGGTTGCGTCTCTCCTTGATTAGTTTCCTTCCATTGCTTCTTGTCCTGGCCTTCTGGTGCTTTGGAGAATAGCTTGACCCCCTTCCTCTTCTTTGGGGCAGCCCCTCAAATACTGAAATACTGCCATCACGTTCTATCAAATTATTTGTAGTTGCAGCCAAGGAGATCGTAACTATCTCCACTTGATTATCATTGGATAGATAGTACATGGGCAAGGTGTCATCCATCACGTTCTCCAATTAAAGTTTTTCTGGGCAAAAGCTCCAGTAGCTTAGCTACAATCTTTTTAAAGAGAAGGTTGGAATGTGCTTCTAAGTTCATTTGCCATATGCTTCTCCAGTCTTTCTCCCCCACACCTCCCTCTTCCTTATGGCAACTTGGAAACAAGTGTAGGAATGTTTTACAAGTCAACACTGTTTATACAGCCAAGCCAACGATTGTATTGGCTTTTTTGGCTGCTGCGGAGCTGATCAGAAAGTCACATTCTTGTCCTAGTTTATGAGCCACTTTTAGTGGCCCTCGCTCGGTTCTTGGTTTCTCCCTCTTGATGTTCTTCAGAGCTCCAGAAAGGCTCCATCGGAGAGTCACAGATGGATCCTGGGAACCAAGTAAAGCCAGTGCCATTAAATGTAGATTGGATTGGACTTCACCCTCATCCCATAGGGCCTTTCCTGTGTTTTCCTAATTAAACCTTCATTAGCTTAATTAGCCCTCTTGAGGTTCAGAGGAGACACCTTACTTCGGCAACGTGACATGGCTGCATAAATCACCATGTGAACACAGGTAACTTGAGTTTTCAGCTTGAGGGTCTTGCTCAACTTCTGGAAAGCCTACTTCATCCCACTTGGGTGACAAACGCAGGAGGTTATAAGGAACAAACATGATTCCAAGATAACCACAATATGCAGATTCGCAAGGAAAGAAAGAAAGAAAGAAAGAAAGAAAGAAAGAAAGAAAGAAAGAAAGAAAGAAAGAAAGAAAGAAAGAAAGAAAGAAAGAAAGAAAGAAAGAGTGAATTAAGGGCTATCCAGATAATGTTGAATCTTTTTCTTCCAGGCTAAAGATTGAGGAATTGGAAACGGAGCGAAGCCAGTTAGAAGAGAAAAACAAATTACTGGAAGCAAAGCTGGAACAAGCTATGGTTCAGGTAAGGTCTTAGGATGCGTGATTTGTCTTGACGAGAGGGACCGAAAAGTTTTGTCCATATTTTATGCTCATTTGCAAGGGGGGGGGGCGGATTCCTCCTGAGATTAATTTCAAGAAGCCGAGTCTTATCTCATGCTATTGGTTCTTTTATTACAAGAGTTTGTCAGGCATCCCTTAAGAAATTGAACGCTCCAAAGAGTCTTTGAATATTTTCCGTTCTTTGTATAAATGGACACTTTTGTGTTCAGAGGTCCGTCAACTCGTTTCGAATGTCTAAGATGGAGCCAAATGGATGGAGAGCCCCTGCGGATGCCGCCGGGAGCAGCATCCCATAATTTCTTTCCAGAATCTCCCTTGGACAGGCTGTGAAGACTTAATCATGGGGTTTGGGTTTTAAAAAGTAGAATTATAGGTTGCTGCTTCTAAGAAAATTCGCTCTGTCTGTGGATGGTCACACAACACGTTTTGTAAGTGACAAAGAGAGTCGTAAGTCAGATACAAACCAAATGACTGGGTTTGCATAATTGACTAGGTTTGGTTAGTTTTAATTTTGGTTAGTTGGTTTTTGTGTGTGTGTGTGGAGTTTTTTTGGTGCATACTATCTTATATGAACTCAGACCAATTAGTTTATGACTCAATGTACTTTGCAAACCCAGAATGTGGGTTGATGCAGTACCCATGTTAGGCCTGTTGGGTGAACCCAATTTTAGAGCACAGAAAAAAAGATTAAATATATTTTACTAGGTATATTGACAGCAACAAGAATAATATACACACAATGCTGGAAACAAAATAATACGCCCTCAGAGGAATTAGTAATTCAAAAAATTCTAGATTGTGCTGAAATGGATAAATTGATGTTAAAATTAAAAGATAAAGAAGAGTTGGAATATTACGAAATTTGGGAGAATTGATATAAATGGTTGAACAATAGAAATAAGGATAACGGAGATAAGAAAATTAGAGATAAAGGTATATGAATGTATATAAATGTAGATATTTACATGAGTTTGATTTATATAACGATGAGAGAAAGTACTGTTAATATTAAGGTGAAAAGGTGAAAAAGAACAATAAAAATTATTGAACAAATTTAGAGCACAGAAACTACATGCACTTCTGCCTCCTACATTCCAGAATATTCTTGAACAAAGCTGCCCCATCTTTCCTGGTTTTCGCTCGAAAATGTCTTAAATCCCTACACCCATCTGTACCTTATACATTAACACTCCTTCACTCCAGGAGTCTGCAAATGTGGCAAAAATCTGGGAATTCTGGGAGTTGAAATCCACAAGTCTTCAAAAGTTGAGTCCCGATCTACTCCATAACACTTTTATTCAACTTGTTAAAAAGCTCATTTTATAACAAATCGATCTACATCCCCACCATATCAAGCTGTCTGGAATATCAGAGGGTAGTAATATTGGCACCAACTCATGCCATCATTCCCATAAAAGACAGCAGTGCCCAGGAAGATACAATGGGATTCAAGGTCTTCTCCTGAACTTCTAACCTTCTTGCGGCTCCGACTTACGTCTTGTAAGAATACCTCCTCAGAAGTCTTAACGGGGTCTAACTAAATCTCATCTTCCTAACCTGCTTCCTCTTCCTCTTGTAGACCTATGGACATAGTCTTGTTCCCATGTCCAGAAAAAATCAGGCTAGTTTTCACCCTTACCCATCAGAACTTGGTCATCACAATGTAAAAAATATACCGAGACTCTAGAAAGCGTGCAGAGAAGAGCAACCAAGAGGATTAGGGGACTGGAGGCTAAAACATATGATGGATGGTTGCAGGAACTGGGCCTGGCTAGTCTAGGGAAGAGAAGGACCAGGGGTGACTTGATAGCCATGTTCCAGTATTTGAGGGGCTGCCCCAAAGAAGAGGGAGTCAAGCTATTCTCCAAAGCACCTGAGGGCAGGACAAGAAGCAACGGGTGGAAACTCATCAAGGAGAGAAGCAACTTAGAACTAAGGAGAAATTTCCTGATAGTTGGAACAATTAATCAGTGGAGCATCTTGATTCCAGAAGTTGTAAATGCTCCAACACTGGAAGGTTTTAAGAAGACATTGGACCAGCCATTTGTCTGAAGTGGGTGTATGGTTTCCTGCCTAACCAGGGGTTGGACTAGAAGACCTCCAAGGTCCCTTCCAACTCTGTTATTCTATAATGATAGCACTGACTTCCGTGTCATCCCAATAGCTTACAGAACAAACGCTGATTATCCACAGCCCTTTTGTGCTGCCTACAGTTGTCGCATGTCAAGATTCAGAGGTGGCCTGTGGTCACGCGGAAGGGCTTTCTATTCTGGTTTGTCACGGCTTGCCTTTTTTGAGCGTCTCATCTGCTCGTCTTCCAGCAGATCTTTGATCATCTTGTCTGTACTGGTGGCCCCAGCAGCCATCCATGCACAGGGATGCTCATATCTGCTCCAAGCGCGACTTTTATCTCAGGTCTGCTGGAGTTAAGCAAACATCTTCCAATTTGTCTGTTCTGGATGAGCGACTGTATATATTCCTTCTTGGCCAAGTGTAATTTTTGTAAACCATGTATTGTTTTTTCGGGCTAAGAAATCCTTCGACCATTAAACCTCTTTTTGTGAAGATGGATATCATGCTGTTGATTGTGCCTTTTGGCCTTTTCTTTACTTCTTCCTTTATGTAGCTCAAATAATACAATGTCTCCTATATAACGGGGGAAGAAGGGGGCCTTGTAAGTGTTGGAAACATCTTAAGTTTTACTCCTCTAAGTTTTCGTATCGACTGCAGACCACCGAGCTCGGTTTCCAGAACTGTGAGTCTTTATCTTCCTTTCATGAAAAAAAAAAAAAGCACCGTTATTTCCCATTTCTGTTCGGTGTGATTTATTTCCAAAATCTGGCTCTGTAGTAGAGGATGGCTGCTTGTAAGTCAAGGGCACCGAGTGTTTTGCTAAACATAACTCATTCCTAGTTCCACCAGGCCGACAAGGGAGGTCACGGTTATTCCCATTTTGCAGGTGGGGATCTCAGTTTGAGAAGACAAACGACTCGTCTGCGGTCAGTGGGTGGATCTCTTGGCCAACCGGGAGTTTGAACTCTGTTCTTCAAGTGCAGATACAACTGCTTTCGTCCAATCCCTCTGGAGATAGTATGGATGATCGCCGCTCACCCTGATCACATCACGAAGGGACAACCCTACCCTGGGGACACGCCTGCGATGACTCCAGTTCTTTAACTCTTCATTCAGAATGAGAACTGAGATGACTGTTCCCATAATTCCATTTGAGCAAGTGGACCCTTCAAGATGTGTCTTATTATTACTCAAAAACTTGGACGTCTCCATGTCAATCAGTTTGACTTGATAGCACCAGAAAGGGTGTGTGGGATTGCTCTGAAGTGTTGCCAAAGTGCGTCTTAAGGACCTGAACGTTGTCGAGCTGGAGAGCATCCAACATCATAAAGGTGGTGGACGGTGTGGAGCTTGGGGGCCAAAGTGTTGTGTTGTGGGAGTCTTTATATCTGCCCCTCACCATATTAAATAAAAAGTTTGTGACGGTCCCGTCTAGCAGGAGAGCTTGTAAGTTACAACGGCCCTGAAAAAAAAGTGACTTAACAACTGGTTTTCGCACTACCTCTGCAGCATCCGCAGGGCCACATGAACAAAATCCAGGTGCTTGCCAGCCAGTTCATATTTATGACGGTCGTAGTGTCCCAGGAGTCATGTGATCAATTAATGGGGAGTCCAGATTCACTTCACAACCGTTCTGATTAACTTAACAAGCGCAATAATTCCCTTATCAAGGCCTCTGGTGAGAAAAGCCATACAAACGCTCTTCACCAATGTTTCACTTAGTGGCATGAATTTTGAGCTCCCTTGCGGCCATATGTTGAGGACTAGCTGTATACCTCTAGCATATGAAACCAGAGACAAAATAGAAGAAAATCCAAATTGCTTTTCAATTTGGGCATGGAGATCATATGTAAAACAAGAGACAAATAACCAGAGGAACTACTTGTATTGGTTACTCCTTGACGTAAGACACACACTGTCGTTGCATGGTGGCTTTGTAATTTCCTTCCATTCCTCCCTCCTTCCCCTTTTCCTTCCTTCCCTCCCTTTCTTTCCTCTTTCTCTGTCTTCCCTCCTTTCCTTTTTCCTTCCCTCCCTCCCTCCCTTTCCTCCCTCTTTCTTGTCTTCCCTCCTTCCCTTTTTCCTTCCTTCCTTCCTTCCTCTTTCTCTGTCTTCCCTCCTTCCCCTTTTCCTTCCTTCCTTCCTTCCTTCCTCTTTCTCTGTCTTCCCCTTTTCCTTCCTTTTCCTTCCTTCCTTCCTTCCTTCCTTCCTTCCTTCCTTCCTTCCTTCCTTCCTTCCTCTTTCTCTATCTTCCCTTTTTCCTTCCTTCCTTCCTTCCTTCCTTCCTTCCTTCCTTCCTTCCTTCCTTCCTTCCTTCCTTCCTCCCTCCCCCCTCCCTCCCTCCCTCCCTCCCCCTCTTCTCTTGTTCCACCAAGATGGCTTCATTTGAAATTACCCAGATTTCAGACACGGCATTGATTTTTATCTTGACACCTGTTAGAATCAATTCTTTCTTTTATTGCCAATTCCCAGAGATTGGGGGAGGGGAGGGAAGGAAAGGGGAGGGGAAGGGGGGGGCACGAGGAATGACAGCTCTGCTCAAACAGGGAATCAAGTGCTCCTGAGTGCTTTTACCAAGCAACACCTTACCAATTGAAGCCTCTCACCTGTTCCTCCTTTAATTGGGTTGCTGTCTTCAGAAAGGAGATGAAAGTTGCAGGTTGGATGTTTTGATGCCCGTGTCTCCAAGGACCATTTTAGAGCATCTCTTCATTGTTCCGCAGGTTACAAGCTCATTTGTTTCACATTTCATGTCACGTCTGTGATGGGAGGAGGCGGCCATCCCGCCAAAACGTTGGACCGGTGCACTCAAGATCTGCGCAAGGTTCTGGTTTTCGCTGGACGATTCGGAGAGTGTTGAGCCCTTCGCAATTGGCAGAAGATACGGCA